TTCATCCACTTCACCCTACGTGGCTTCTTAGTGCGGCTGATGATAATACCATCATGGTTTGGGAAATTGGATTGCCTAAAGGAGCTGAATATCAAGGAAAATCAAAGTAAGTACTTGTACACTCCTATGAAAGGCCAAAATTTGGGGCTCGTCTACACTGGTGTATTGTATTTGAACATTTGAAATGACTCAGACTTAACTGCAAATAACTGAGGTTTGTGTTTTTTGACATTTGGAAAGATTATTTATACAAAATAAGGAATTAAATGGACTCTTTGAAAAAGAAAGTGTGCAGGAAAAGCCAAGTTTTATAAAAAAAAATGCTGACTAGTAAAGTACTTGTGCATGGCCTGCTCATTAACAAGACAGCTTACATGAGAAATGGAAAACAACTTGTCTAAGAATGGTACAAGAACAAAAACAAGTCACCAGATTTGCTTTTTTGATTGCAAAGGCTCAAAAACACAATACAGCATAAGATGTGTTTTCAACACAAAATTGAATGATTTGGAAAATGTGTTAAGTACTGAATTCTGCGAGTTTTCTCCAGAGTCTAGATATGACACATAGGAGACAGTATATTTCCACGTACAAATAATCAATATATATTTTTAACAACAGTGGATGTTAGCATAGAAGGCACATATCTTGACAAGGAAGGACAAGGGAGGCAAGGCCAATAGCTTAATATCACAACCAGCAAGGTCTTACCAGATATGACATATTAGTTGGTTTGTTGGGCTGCTTGGGGTTGAGGCCCACATTGACAACCTGTTAAATGGGAGGCCTGTGCTTTACCAACTTAACCAACTGGGTGGCAGCAACCTTTCACCATAATATGTCAAATACTATTTGATATTTTCAGTTGAAGATTTCAGCTGAGAAATGTTCTGTTCTTAACATATAATGTAGGCAAATGAAAAGATTTTTTTTGAAATAGTGCGTAGTCCCGGGGCTGTTTTAAAAGTAGTCATGCTATGCACCCACAAGGTCACCTAAAAATCAAACTTAATTGTGGAAATTGCTTCAGTTGTAACTTTTATCTGGCTTTGGCCCTGCCTTCAAATCTCACTTTCTATTCTAAGGTAATTAGCCAAGATAATTCTTATTGTCTTAGCCTGAGTAATGATCTTCGTTTTTTAAATTGCGGTTCCATTCTTGGGATCACACATGCCCCAGTAAAACCTCTTTTAACCTTATAATTATTGCTTATGTCTTTTAGACTGTTGTTGACTTTGAAGTCTCGCTCAATAGTGCGGTTATTTTCCATCCCTCCCCATGGAAAAGTTGTGGTTGGTGGATGTGACGATGGCTGTTATATCTGGAAACTGTATGATGGCTCATCTGACAAAAGTGACAAAAACAGCAAAATAAGGTTAGCTTATATATCTGATGACTTAAAGTAGCACATCAGATGTCACATCTGGTGTTAGAGTAAGAGTTTGACAGGGCCAGTGCTTGATCTTAACTTTTTATATCTTTTTTCCTGGAACTAGTTACATGTACATGTAAGCTGAAAGTTTACTTGTCCTTAGTAAATTTGTGGTGCATCTGTGGTAGTCCATCCAGACTGCAGCATGCCAATATTGAATTTCAATATTTATTTATATGACTAATGTCAGCCCTGTGCTAATGTAAGATTTAAACCAGCAGTAACCAAGAGTTAGGAAGTGCGAGCAAACATGTGCATTTACCTCATGGAGTGTGATTAATGTTGAGAACTGCTTTCATAATTGTGTACGTAAATAGAAGAGCCCCATTTGATAGTTCCAGTATCAACAGAAGGAATCGCAGCAGATCATGAACGTGCAGATTGTATTGAACAACACAGTAAACAAGACTTATTGAATTCAACTATTTTATTCACAACTGCTTGGGTACAGGTAGCCTTGCGATGGATGACGAGTGACTGAGGAGAGATGGCTGTATTCGTGGGAAAAGATAATGATGCATGACAATGTTCAAAGTGAAATGAAAACGGCACGAATTGTTATTAATCGGTGTTCAGTGACCAAAAGTCATTTAGATGCAACAGTGAATGATGAAAAAGCTTAGTTTAAAACTTATTGAAGTGTCAGATACCAAGCGACATAACATGCTTGAAAACACACAAAATATAAAACAACTGTAGTTGGATCTGAATTAACTTAACTTTCATAGATTTATAGGCTGTGCAATCACTTGTATCTTACCAAGGCTTGTCCCACACTAAGCTGAAATCAGGCTCTGCTGTCATTTTACTTGGTAAATAGATTTGATACGGTATGTGTATACCTGAATTATGCTGACTATGTGTTTTCAAAGCAAACAAATATTGCTGCATGTCCTTTGCAACATTACCGCCCTTTCTCGACTTCTCAGCATGCAGCAAGAAATTCAGCATCAGCACCTTGGAAAATGCTGATAGTGTAATCATGTATTAATTTTTGTATTTATGTTAGCACAGACCTTGCACTCAACACCAGAGAATTTGCGGCCACATACCATGCATATTAGTTGGTACAACAAGGGAATCCCAAGAATGTGGACAGATTTTGGAAAAACCTCATTATACATTCTAGAAAGTACTGCTGACCAATAGTCTGTGGGTTCCTCTTGTTGCCAGCAAAAATACTTGAGCAGTGTTTTTCTTCGGTATCTAGACGTCAGTTTCCAAGTGTCTGGGTGTTGGATAAAACAAAGCATATATTTTGATTATTGCTTCTAAAATGATCAGTTAATATTATTCTTAAATACATTTTAGAGCGAATGTTTGCAAAATTTGTTTCATATTCTATCATATTTATCCATCTTAAAAATAATGCTGAGAAGTCGTTTTTGATTTTCTGTGTGGATGTGTTTTTGCCAAGAGGTTAGAGCCCAAAAATGTTGTGACCTCTCTGTAAGTGAAAAAGAATTCATGGCACCAGTAAATATTAATCTGACAACTGTTTCATTATCACATGCTATTAGTGAATGGCCAAACTGGGGAGAGTGAAAAGAAGGTAAAAAGTGAGTCAGATAAGATGAAGGACATAAAAACACCTGACAGCAAAGTGAGCAAAAAGAAGGAGAGGACACAAAGGAGGGAAACCAAGGTAGTAGGCTGCTTTTTTCTACACCTTAAAGACAGTTTGAAAGTGGAAAATAATGATTGGTTTTTTAATAATAAATTACTTGTTAGTAATTTGTTATTAAAAAACAAATCATTATTTTCCACTTTCAAGTTGTCTTTAGCCCTTTAAGCCTTTAAGCCCCAAGATCCAAATATAAATTCTCCAGACTGTTCTCCATACGTTTATTGTATGAATAGTGGAGAGAATTTGGTTAAAGATCAAAGTATTCTCCCTTTGGTGATCAATCTAGTAATTCTCATAACCTTTACTCTTGATGTTCTGATGATGTTGTTAGGAGAAAATCTATGTTGGTCGCTCTTGGGACCTGAAGGGTTAAGGTGTAGAAAAGAAAAACAGAAATAATTATTACATTACAGTGGAAGCTCTCGTAATGAGAATGATTCTTTTATGTGGCCACTAGAGGTGTAAGGGTTAGATGGACACTCACTGGAGCTTTCCCAGCTGCAAATAAATACTGGGAATGCAAAAAAACTGTTTGTTTGTGTTTGGCTATACCATTGTCCTGGCAACATTGAAATTCAGGCACAACCATAAAATTCTGTGTGTTGGACTGAAAATTGGATCATGAAGCATGCTTTGGCACAATCTAAATATCTTGTTTTAGGACTCTTACAAGATCTTGTAAGTATATCATTTCAGGAATCTTAATTTGACCTTGGCAAGAATATTGGGTGGAAATCCCAGGAAAGGAATCTTTGGGGGGAACCCCTGCAGGAATCTTGGGGGAAACCCCTGCAGGAATCTCAAAGGGAATCCCAACAGGAATCTTGGTGGAAATCCCGGCAAGAATTCTTGGAGGGAATCCCGACAAGAATCTTGGGGGAAACTTGGCGGGAATGTTGAAGGAAATCCTGGCAGGAATCTTTGAGGGAATCCCGGCAGGAACCTTGATGGAAGTCCTGGCAGGAATCTTGGTGGGCCCTTATTGTGTTGGAAGAAACCAGTTTTCAGTTCTCCAAGGAAAAACAACAACATTTAAGAACTTATAATAATTATTAGACAAATCATGGGAAATCAGTTTTAAGAATGAATCTTTCCAGTATTCAGTGACTCGCTTAAATGTACTTGATCCACAGGAGCGGAGTCCAGGTGCTGCTCGCTGTCAGTTTGCTGTATCTCATTTGCTTCAGACACACTCACTAAACAATGACCCATCTGACAGGAAAACACAAGTTTGGGGATGTGAGTTTGAGCCAGATCCTGAAAGAAAAGGTTTGTTTGGTCACTGTGACTTAAAATACGTCCACATCTTCAGCTGTTTATATCTTTCATAGCCACAGTCAAACCTCCTGAAGACCACCACTCATATAATGTCAATGAAATGGCATTGATTGACTTGCTAGTTGCTTACAAGAGTTGGACTTTTTGAAGGGTATCCACTATACTGGGAACAGGCCTAGGTCCAACACAACTTTTTGGTCAGAAGTAATTTGTTTTGTTACAGTCTCTGAGTTGAAGTACATGATTATACCATAAGATTATGTCCTCACATTCACAGTGTTAAATTAAGAGTCATTGACTGTCTTCATATCTTGCTCTGGAGAGAATGGTTAGAGAATAGAGCCGAATACATGTGTCAGTACTTCTTAGTTAGTGTAACAAAGTTGCCAGTGCATGCAGGTATTTGAAGTCCTTTGGTTTCAACATGTGATACGTCAAACTTGCAAATCTCTTTGTCAAACTTTTTGGAAAATCTAAAATTGAACTTTGAACTTTTAAATAACTAGATTTTCAATGTTTAAATAACAGTACTTAGAGGTAGCACAACCACGCAGTGGTTATTCATCTACCATTACTGGTCCAATCGATATTTTGTTGAAAGAGGATAAACTAAGGTTCCAGGAGTAAAACGTCTTGAGAGCAAGGCCGAAAATGAATGATAAACTCAACCAAGATATGACACTGCTTTGGGTTTAAAATCCTGGCCACATTGGTGAGAGGCGCGTGCTCCCACCATTGCACTCTTGCTCTTGTTTAATGCAAAACTGACATGCACATTTTTTCAGCTTTCAACAGTCTCATGGGTCAACCCAGAAAATCTCCTTCTTTTGACTGTCTGGAATTGAGTTGTAAGCTTCAAGACTAGAAACTCCAGTTTGGGCCTAAGAACACACAAATGAAATAGCAAAATAGTTTTTGAATGTTGCAAAATGATGACTCAGTACGCCTTCATGCTTTATACTAATGCAGTACTGCTTTACAGTACTGCAGGTCAGCAAATAACAAGATTTTTCTGGAGGGATGTAAATTATGTCTGACCATACCTTTTCAGTTAGACAAACAGAAAAATTGTCAGACATATTGCACAGTGTATATCAACTTTTCATTTCTTTAATTTATTACTGTGCAAATCTTAAGCTGCGAAGTGATAGTGTATTTTGCCTTCACTAACCAGAAAGACACCCACAAAAAAGTAGATACAGGGGCCTGTAGGTCAGAAAGGACCTCAAACATAATATATGTCCAACTATTGTTTGCAGCGCTGGTATTGTTACTTCTGACTTATCTCTGTGATGTTATTAGGTTACACAACAACAACATGTGCAACTTGTGGAGGGGACTCTGTTTGCTTTGTTGACTGCAGCACTGGACGTGTCATGAAGAAATACAAGCAACCAGGAGAGACATTTTACTGTTTAGCATGGACAACTGTGTGTTTGGATGCTGACTCGGATAATAAACATAATGCCAACCTTATAGCTGCTGGTGGATTGCAATGTGACATTAAAATAATAGAACCCAATCAGTTAGTTTGCTTTGAGGAAATTCAAGGTCACAAGGGACTGTTAGAATGTTTGGTTTTTCATCCACTTCACCCTACGTGGCTTCTTAGTGCGGCTGATGATAATACCATCATGGTTTGGGAAATTGGATTGCCTAAAGGAGCTGAATATCAAGGAAAATCAAAGTAAGTACTTGTACACTCCTATGAATGGCGAAAATTCGGGGCTCGTCTACACTGGTGTATCGTATTTAAACATTTGAAATGACTCATACTTAACTGCTAAAAACTGAGGTTTGCGTTTTTTGAAATTTGGAAAGATTGTTTATACAAAATAAGGATTTAAAGTGGACTCTTTCAAAACGAAAGTATGCAGGAAAAGCCAAGTTTTATCAAGAAATGCTGACTAGTAAGGTAGCTAGTGCATGGCCTGCTCATTAACAAGACAATAAATTTACATGTGAAGTGAAAAACAACTTGTTGAAGAATGGTACAAGAACAAAAACATGTCACCAGATTTGCGTTTTTGATGGTAACAGCTCAAAAACACAATACAGCATAAGACGTGTTTTCAACGCAAAATTGAATGATTTGAAAAATGTGTTAAGTACTGAATTCCACAATTTCTTTCCAGAGTTATACAATGTAGATATGACAAAGAGGGGACAGTACATCTCCACTTACAAATAATAATCATTATATATTGTAAACAAGAGTGGATGTTAGCATAAAAGGCACATCTCTTGACAACGGATGATGAGGGAGGCAAGGCCAGTAGATTGATATCACAACCACCAAGGTCTTAACAGATATTACATATTAGTTGCAATTGGTTTGTTGGGCTGCTTGGGGTTGAATCCCATATTGACAACCTCTTAAATGGGAGGCCTGTGCTTTACCAACTTAACTAACTGGGTGGCAACAACCTTTTACCATAATATGTCAAATAGTATTTGATATTTTCAGTTGTAGATTTCAGCTGAGGAACGTTCCTTTCTTAACACATAATGTAGGCAAATTAAGAGATTTTTTAAAAAAATGCGTAGTCCCAGGGTTGTTTTTAAAAGTAGTCATGCTAAGCACCCACAAGGTCACCTACAAAGCGAACTTAACTGTGGAAATTGCTTCAGTTGAAACTTTTATATGGCTTTGGCCCTGCCTTCAAATTTCACTTTCTGTTCTAAGGTAATTAGGCAAGATAATTTCTTATTGCCTGAGTAGTGGTCTTAATTTTTTCAATCGCTGTTCCATTCTTGGGATCACACATGCCCAAGTAAAACCTCTCCTAACCTTATAATTATTGTTTATGTCCTTTAGACTGTTGTTGACTTTGAAGTCTCGCTCAATAGTGCGGTTATTTTCCATCCCTCCCCATGGAAAGGTTGTGGTTGGTGGATGTGACGATGGCTGTTATATCTGGAAACTGTATGATGGCTCATCTGACAAAAGTGACAAAAACAGCAAAATAAGGTTAGCTTATATATCTGATGACTTCAAAGAGGACATCAGATGTCACATCTGGTGTTTGACTAAGAGTCTGACAGGGCCAGTGCTTGATCTTAACTTTTTATATCTTCTTTCCTGGGACTAGCTACATGTACATGTAAGCTGAAAGTTTAAATTTGTGGTGCATCTGTGGTTGTCCTTCCAGACTGCCGCATGCCAATATTGAATTTCAATACTTACCGGTATTTATGACTAATGTCAGCCTTGTGCTAATGTGAGATATAAACTAGCAGTAGCCAAGAGTTAGGAAGTGCAAGCAAACATGTGCACTTACCTCATGGGGTGCGATTGATGTTGAGACCTGCTTTCATAACTGTGTACGTAAATAAAAGAGCCCCATTTGATAGTTCCAGTATCAACAGAAGGAATCGCAGCAGATCATGAACGTGGAAATTGTATTGAACAACACAGTAAACAAGACTTATTGAATTCAACTATTTTATTCACAATTGCTTGGGTATAGGTAACCTTGCGATCGATGAGGAGCAACTGAGGAGAGATGGCTGTATTCGTGGGAAAATATACTAATACGTATCTGACAGTGCTTAAAGTGAAATGAAAACAGCACGAATTGTTATTAATCGGTGTTCAGTGACCAAAAGTCATTTAGATGCAACAGTGAAAGATGAAGAAGCTTAGTTTAAAACTTATTGAAGTGTCAGATACCAAGCAACGTAACATCCTTAAAAACACACAAAATATAAAACAACTGTAGTGTGATCTGAATTAACTTAACTTTCATGGATTTATAGGCTGTGCAATCACTTGTATCTTACCAAGACTTGTCCCACACTAAGCTGAAATCAGGCTCTGCTTTCGTTTTACTTGGTAAATAGATTTGATGCAGTACGTGTATACCTGACTTACGCTGACTATGTGTTTTCAAAGCAAACAAATATTGCTGCATATCCTTTGTAACATTACCGCCCTTTCTCGACTTCTCAGCATGCAGCAAGAAATTCAGCATCAGCACCTTGGAAAATGCTGATAGTGTAATCGTGTATTAATTTTTGTATTTATGTTAGCACAGACCTTGCACTCAACACCAGAGCATTTGCAGCCACATACCATGCATATTAGTTGGTACAACAAGGGAATCCCAGGAATGTGGACAGATTTTGGAAAAACCTCATTATACATTCTAGAAAGTACTGCTGACCAATAGTCTGTGGGTTCCTCTTGTTGCCAGCAAAAATACTTGAGCAGTGTTTTTCTTCGGTATCTAGACATCAGTTTCCAAGTGTCTGGGTGTTGGATAAAACAAAGCATATATTTTGATTATTGCTTCTAAAATGATCAGTTAATATTATTCTTAAATACATTTTAGAGCGAATGTTTGCAAAATTTGTTTCATATTCTATAATACATGTGTCAGTACTTCTTAGTTAGTGTAACAAAGTTGCCAGTGCATGCAGGTATTTGAAGTCCTTTGGTTTCAACATGTGATACGTCAAACTTGCAAATCTCTTTGTCAAACTTTTTGGAAAATCTAAAATTGAACTTTGAACTTTTAAATAACTAGATTTTCAATGTTTAAATAACAGTACTTAGAGGTAGCACAACCACGCAGTGGTTATTCATCTACCATTACTGGTCCAATCGATATTTTGTTGAAAGAGGATAAACTAAGGTTCCAGGAGTAAAACGTCTTGAGAGCAAGGCCGAAAATGAATGATAAACTCAACCAAGATATGACACTGCTTTGGGTTTAAAATCCTGGCCACATTGGTGAGAGGCGCGTGCTCCCACCATTGCACTCTTGCTCTTGTTTAATGCAAAACTGACATGCACATTTTTTCAGCTTTCAACAGTCTCATGGGTCAACCCAGAAAATCTCCTTCTTTTGACTGTCTGGAATTGAGTTGTAAGCTTCAAGACTAGAAACTCCAGTTTGGGCCTAAGAACACACAAATGAAATAGCAAAATAGTTTTTGAATGTTGCAAAATGATGACTCAGTACGCCTTCATGCTTTATACTAATGCAGTACTGCTTTACAGTACTGCAGGTCAGCAAATAACAAGATTTTTCTGGAGGGATGTAAATTATGTCTGACCATACCTTTTCAGTTAGACAAACAGAAAAATTGTCAGACATATTGCACAGTGTATATCAACTTTTCATTTCTTTAATTTATTACTGTGCAAATCTTAAGCTGCGAAGTGATAGTGTATTTTGCCTTCACTAACCAGAAAGACACCCACAAAAAAGTAGATACAGGGGCCTGTAGGTCAGAAAGGACCTCAAACATAATATATGTCCAACTATTGTTTGCAGCGCTGGTATTGTTACTTCTGACTTATCTCTGTGATGTTATTAGGTTACACAACAACAACATGTGCAACTTGTGGAGGGGACTCTGTTTGCTTTGTTGACTGCAGCACTGGACGTGTCATGAAGAAATACAAGCAACCAGGAGAGACATTTTACTGTTTAGCATGGACAACTGTGTGTTTGGATGCTGACTCGGATAATAAACATAATGCCAACCTTATAGCTGCTGGTGGATTGCAATGTGACATTAAAATAATAGAACCCAATCAGTTAGTTTGCTTTGAGGAAATTCAAGGTCACAAGGGACTGTTAGAATGTTTGGTTTTTCATCCACTTCACCCTACGTGGCTTCTTAGTGCGGCTGATGATAATACCATCATGGTTTGGGAAATTGGATTGCCTAAAGGAGCTGAATATCAAGGAAAATCAAAGTAAGTACTTGTACACTCCTATGAATGGCGAAAATTCGGGGCTCGTCTACACTGGTGTATCGTATTTAAACATTTGAAATGACTCATACTTAACTGCTAAAAACTGAGGTTTGCGTTTTTTGAAATTTGGAAAGATTGTTTATACAAAATAAGGATTTAAAGTGGACTCTTTCAAAACGAAAGTATGCAGGAAAAGCCAAGTTTTATCAAGAAATGCTGACTAGTAAGGTAGCTAGTGCATGGCCTGCTCATTAACAAGACAATAAATTTACATGTGAAGTGAAAAACAACTTGTTGAAGAATGGTACAAGAACAAAAACATGTCACCAGATTTGCGTTTTTGATGGTAACAGCTCAAAAACACAATACAGCATAAGACGTGTTTTCAACGCAAAATTGAATGATTTGAAAAATGTGTTAAGTACTGAATTCCACAATTTCTTTCCAGAGTTATACAATGTAGATATGACAAAGAGGGGACAGTACATCTCCACTTACAAATAATAATCATTATATATTGTAAACAAGAGTGGATGTTAGCATAAAAGGCACATCTCTTGACAACGGATGATGAGGGAGGCAAGGCCAGTAGATTGATATCACAACCACCAAGGTCTTAACAGATATTACATATTAGTTGCAATTGGTTTGTTGGGCTGCTTGGGGTTGAATCCCATATTGACAACCTCTTAAATGGGAGGCCTGTGCTTTACCAACTTAACTAACTGGGTGGCAACAACCTTTTACCATAATATGTCAAATAGTATTTGATATTTTCAGTTGTAGATTTCAGCTGAGGAACGTTCCTTTCTTAACACATAATGTAGGCAAATTAAGAGATTTTTTAAAAAAATGCGTAGTCCCAGGGTTGTTTTTAAAAGTAGTCATGCTAAGCACCCACAAGGTCACCTACAAAGCGAACTTAACTGTGGAAATTGCTTCAGTTGAAACTTTTATATGGCTTTGGCCCTGCCTTCAAATTTCACTTTCTGTTCTAAGGTAATTAGGCAAGATAATTTCTTATTGCCTGAGTAGTGGTCTTAATTTTTTCAATCGCTGTTCCATTCTTGGGATCACACATGCCCAAGTAAAACCTCTCCTAACCTTATAATTATTGTTTATGTCCTTTAGACTGTTGTTGACTTTGAAGTCTCGCTCAATAGTGCGGTTATTTTCCATCCCTCCCCATGGAAAGGTTGTGGTTGGTGGATGTGACGATGGCTGTTATATCTGGAAACTGTATGATGGCTCATCTGACAAAAGTGACAAAAACAGCAAAATAAGGTTAGCTTATATATCTGATGACTTCAAAGAGGACATCAGATGTCACATCTGGTGTTTGACTAAGAGTCTGACAGGGCCAGTGCTTGATCTTAACTTTTTATATCTTCTTTCCTGGGACTAGCTACATGTACATGTAAGCTGAAAGTTTAAATTTGTGGTGCATCTGTGGTTGTCCTTCCAGACTGCCGCATGCCAATATTGAATTTCAATACTTACCGGTATTTATGACTAATGTCAGCCTTGTGCTAATGTGAGATATAAACTAGCAGTAGCCAAGAGTTAGGAAGTGCAAGCAAACATGTGCACTTACCTCATGGGGTGCGATTGATGTTGAGACCTGCTTTCATAACTGTGTACGTAAATAAAAGAGCCCCATTTGATAGTTCCAGTATCAACAGAAGGAATCGCAGCAGATCATGAACGTGGAAATTGTATTGAACAACACAGTAAACAAGACTTATTGAATTCAACTATTTTATTCACAATTGCTTGGGTATAGGTAACCTTGCGATCGATGAGGAGCAACTGAGGAGAGATGGCTGTATTCGTGGGAAAATATACTAATACGTATCTGACAGTGCTTAAAGTGAAATGAAAACAGCACGAATTGTTATTAATCGGTGTTCAGTGACCAAAAGTCATTTAGATGCAACAGTGAAAGATGAAGAAGCTTAGTTTAAAACTTATTGAAGTGTCAGATACCAAGCAACGTAACATCCTTAAAAACACACAAAATATAAAACAACTGTAGTGTGATCTGAATTAACTTAACTTTCATGGATTTATAGGCTGTGCAATCACTTGTATCTTACCAAGACTTGTCCCACACTAAGCTGAAATCAGGCTCTGCTTTCGTTTTACTTGGTAAATAGATTTGATGCAGTACGTGTATACCTGACTTACGCTGACTATGTGTTTTCAAAGCAAACAAATATTGCTGCATATCCTTTGTAACATTACCGCCCTTTCTCGACTTCTCAGCATGCAGCAAGAAATTCAGCATCAGCACCTTGGAAAATGCTGATAGTGTAATCGTGTATTAATTTTTGTATTTATGTTAGCACAGACCTTGCACTCAACACCAGAGCATTTGCAGCCACATACCATGCATATTAGTTGGTACAACAAGGGAATCCCAGGAATGTGGACAGATTTTGGAAAAACCTCATTATACATTCTAGAAAGTACTGCTGACCAATAGTCTGTGGGTTCCTCTTGTTGCCAGCAAAAATACTTGAGCAGTGTTTTTCTTCGGTATCTAGACATCAGTTTCCAAGTGTCTGGGTGTTGGATAAAACAAAGCATATATTTTGATTATTGCTTCTAAAATGATCAGTTAATATTATTCTTAAATACATTTTAGAGCGAATGTTTGCAAAATTTGTTTCATATTCTATGTGATTTTAAAAATTCATGGTAAAGATTTCTGACTCATTAGTATTACGGAATGAGTTGAAGTTGAGTTGTATCACTAGGCCATAGCCCTAGCATTCACATAGCATGCTTTTTGCCAGAGAATGTTTCAGTTTGAATAGTTACCAACTTCTTTGCAGAACGCATTTTGGAAAGTTGGATTTTCCAGGAAAAAGGGCGATTCCATTAGACAGTATAATCTGCCTGTCTAACAACCTTATAGGTAAGATGGAATTGCTTTCTTTTTACCTCCATTTCATCATGAGTAGATCATGTAAAAAAATAAAAATAAATAATTTTCCCTAATTTACCCCTGGCCTTGTCTATAGCACTAATGCTAGTGGGGCCTAGCAAATTCCTCAAACAAGTAATTTAAAGCAAACATAACATGGTTAACAATCCAAATTGGCCGGAGGCAAACCAGTTGCTATTTACAAGCGTGGTCAAGGATTTGAACTTGGGACTACCGAGAACAAATCCAGCTAGCAGTCAGGGCGAGACTTGAACTCGGGGCCTCTGAATTGCAAGTCCAGCACCATGACCGCTTGGCCATTCTGCCTCCTCAAAGCAAAGGTAAAGTAGGAAGTGAATCAAGACAGAAAACTTAACGGAACTGTGGCAGCTATAGAATGAGGCTTTCCTCATGATAATATCCTTTCTATTTAAAGAAATGAGAGGGGGAGACCCTCTGGCCAAGGGAGTGGGTGGTTTGTCTTTGCAGGTGCCCATCACAACATAGACACCTACCTTTAATACATTTATAGGGGCTGTGTCAAGTTTTGAAGTCTTTGGATAAAATCCTATGGAGCTGCCATTTAAATGAAGCCTCTGCAGCAGTACTTTCACTTCGTACTATTTACTCTGTATGAAGTGCTGACCTTTGACTCTGAAAGAAACCCATAAATTATTGTAACTAATTAGATGAAATCTCTTCAGCAGTAGAATTGCATAGTGCTACTTGTATTTCAGCATAGTTTGAAATAAAACTTGGAAATTTGTCATTTGACATGAATTAATTTGGATAGTTTCAGTTTGAGTGTTTCAAGTCATTTGTTGCTGTAAAAGGGGGGCATATCCAACATGGCATAGGTACATGTAATGTTGTATACCTAAGCCACACTTTCATTTTTTCATAATTTCTCTGGTAATATTTTCTCCTTAGCCACTAAGAGAGTGGAAGAGGGTTGTATTCATATCTGGTATTCAGAATCTGTAATGCTTCAGGTAAGTGACAGTATTAAAAATATTTCCTGTGTTTCAATTATTNGTTGAGTTGTATCACTAGGCCATAGCCCTAGCATTCACATAGCATGCTTTTTGCCAGAGAATGTTTCAGTTTGAATAGTTACCAACTTCTTTGCAGAACGCATTTTGGAAAGTTGGATTTTCCAGGAAAAAGGGCGATTCCATTAGACAGTATAATCTGCCTGTCTAACAACCTTATAGGTAAGATGGAATTGCTTTCTTTTTACCTCCATTTCATCATGAGTAGATCATGTAAAAAAATAAAAATAAATAATTTTCCCTAATTTACCCCTGGCCTTGTCTATAGCACTAATGCTAGTGGGGCCTAGCAAATTCCTCAAACAAGTAATTTAAAGCAAACATAACATGGTTAACAATCCAAATTGGCCGGAGGCAAACCAGTTGCTATTTACAAGCGTGGTCAAGGATTTGAACTTGGGACTACCGAGAACAAATCCAGCTAGCAGTCAGGGCGAGACTTGAACTCGGGGCCTCTGAATTGCAAGTCCAGCACCATGACCGCTTGGCCATTCTGCCTCCTCAAAGCAAAGGTAAAGTAGGAAGTGAATCAAGACAGAAAACTTAACGGAACTGTGGCAGCTATAGAATGAGGCTTTCCTCATGATAATATCCTTTCTATTTAAAGAAATGAGAGGGGGAGACCCTCTGGCCAAGGGAGTGGGTGGTTTGTCTTTGCAGGTGCCCATCACAACATAGACACCTACCTTTAATACATTTATAGGGGCTGTGTCAAGTTTTGAAGTCTTTGGATAAAATCCTATGGAGCTGCCATTTAAATGAAGCCTCTGCAGCAGTACTTTCACTTCGTACTATTTACTCTGTATGAAGTGCTGACCTTTGACTCTGAAAGAAACCCATAAATTATTGTAACTAATTAGATGAAATCTCTTCAGCAGTAGAATTGCATAGTGCTACTTGTATTTCAGCATAGTTTGAAATAAAACTTGGAAATTTGTCATTTGACATGAATTAATTTGGATAGTTTCAGTTTGAGTGTTTCAAGTCATTTGTTGCTGTAAAAGGGGGGCATATCCAACATGGCATAGGTACATGTAATGTTGTATACCTAAGCCACACTTTCATTTTTTCATAATTTCTCTGGTAATATTTTCTCCTTAGCCACTAAGAGAGTGGAAGAGGGTTGTATTCATATCTGGTATTCAGAATCTGTAATGCTTCAGGTAAGTGACAGTATTAAAAATATTTCCTGTGTTTCAATTATTGTAAGTACATGACTGTGGAACCCTGGAGAACTGTTGAGACAGTTGTAAGAAAAAAATGATTGACTCATCTGCCATCATTTTCCTTGCAAGCATGATGGCATTAAAAGGAATTTCTTTAAAACAGTTTGACTAGGGTTCGTACAGAGTTGTGAATTCTTAAAAAAGTCTTGAAATTTGCCCAACAAAGTCTGAAAAATGGTAAAAAGTCTTGAGTTTTCCTTTTTACAACTTTATAACTGAAATTTGTTTTGTTTTTGTCATATCTTATTCAATCTCACCCTTACGTTTTGCGTGAAAAAAAACTTTGTTCCTGCATTTTTAAGGTCTGTATTGATCACCTATTTGATAACCCTGAGTCTGGAAAAATAAATTATTGTTTTGGAAAAAAGTCTTGAATTTTGGATCCAAAAATGTGTACGAACCATGTGTGACAGAAGTGACCTTTTCTTTTTCTTTTTCTATCACAGCGTATTATTATTTTTTCACAAACCAACCCACCTATAAAATCAACAAAATTCTATTAGCACGGCTTCTTAACTGAAGTTAAGATAAAGCACTGTTTGCTGCCCAGAAGAAAACTGTTAATAATGCTAAGTTTGGATTTATTGATTGTGGACCGTTTGTTTCAGAGTGATTTTAGAATTGCATACAAACTACCATGGAGGCTTACTGAAGTACCATTCTTGAAATTCAACTTTGTTTCAGGTGTGTGAACCTCTATTCTGCTACACAGCTGTTGTTTATGTCATCACACATAGCCCCTGCCACAAAGGAGTGTTGCATGATGACACAAATAATGGCTGCGCAGGAGAGCAGTGAACCTTTAAAACTGTTTATATTCTCAGCTCTTGAATTTTAGTAATACGCAAACAATGAGCGTAAAAGAGAGAACGCTTATCCTTATCTGGTTAAGGTCATCTATGTGATCAAATCTATGCAGAAGAGAGCTTTGCATCTAATTTGTGGAAGGGAAAGGAGTACACGGATAGATTAGGAGAGTTAAAATGGGTTTCCTTAGAACAGAGGCATAAATATCGAAGCCTGGTCAAAATGTACAAGATTTTATTTGGGTGTTGTGACATGGACGCCTCCAAATTTTATGACATCATAGGTCCATCACGAACTCGTAGTAACCATGATTTTAAGCTAAGGCCGCAGCCCTTTTGTACTAATAATTATTTTAAGCATTCTTTTTTTAATTGTTATGTCAGTGATTGGAATTCTCCCCTGTCTAAATATGTTATCTGTGAATCTAGCCTTAACTCTTTCAAAGTCTCCTTTTAAGATATTTGGTCTTAAAGTCATATTAATAGTCATACCCTCTACTTACTTTATTTTTATCAATTCTAATTATTATTTTATTTCTTATGTTATCTTGTAAATAGATTTATGTTATTATCTTTGTAATATATAAGCCTAAGGTTTTTTTTTTAATGTGTTCAGGTTAAAGAAAGGAGAGTGGCCCTAGAAAGGGGAATTCAGTTTCCCCTTGCTGCTATCCCGCCATCTTTCAGTGCAACTTTTAATTTTTTTTATTGTATGGATAGTAAAGCATTATCTAACTAAAACTTAAATGTAATCTTAAGCTGATCTGCAGAGTGTTTAATCACCAGACCTGAACCAATACTCAGGGTCTTAAAATAGCAGAGGAACAAGGTCTGACCAATTTAGCCCTGTAAACAGATAAACCCTTATGTGGGTTGAATGACCAAAGAAATCACTGTTCTTTCTCCCACAAGAAATATGAAGGCAGTGTTGTTTTTATATTGGCTCTGACTTATCCACTGTACCAAGTCTGTCGAAGTTATCAGTGTGGTAAGAAAGATAAAGGCGCACTACAAGCTAATGTGCCTCATACAGCATCATCTTATCCCAGTGTCTGCAGTGTGACATGCCTGGGGTTTTTTCCTACTTCCGTGTGGACAGGATACTCTTCCTTTGGGGGGTTTTCCTCGCTGCTACCTTACCAGTTCCCACCTCAATGTATCCCAGAGCCTGTAGTATCACATGCTGAGGGATATTGCTACCGGTCAGTGTAAAACGCAGACTGCGGACTGCAGACTGCAGACTGCGGACCAGGGGTAAAATGCAGACTGAGTGTAAAATGCAGACTGCAGACTTGCGGTTTGCCGTTTCCCACGAAAAACCTGATGCTAAAGGTCCCTATTTTGATTTGAAAATTTGATTACAGGCCCGAAACGTTACCGGGACGTTCGAGAAACTGGCCCCTGGTGACATACCACTGAGTAGTAGTGAACTGGTATTCTGTACAAGAGGGACTAGTGATACTCCTGGGCATTGCATGCTGCAGTGGGAACTGGTGACATACTACTGAGGGTCACCCTGCAGTAGACTAGCATCTTACCCAGGAGCGGGGGAGTAGCAATATCGGTCAGTGTAAAACGCAGACTGCGGACTGCAGACTGCAGACTGCGGACCAGGGGTAAAATGCAGACTGAGTGTAAAATGCAGACTGCAGACTAAGAGTAAAACGCAGACTGGGGTAAAATGCAGACCGAGCATAAACTGTAGTCGTGGAAGGGTTTAAGGGCAAAAAAATCACGGAAATACCTGTAAACGAACACTTACTTGATGACATCTGCTTTCACAAATCCATTCCTTTCTTCTCTGGAACGTCGTGGACGACCCGAAAACATAATCGCAATCTTGAACCTTTTTTCCATCCGAGAGACTTCACGCTTCAATTTTTGATGCGAAGTTTTCGATATACGTGACCAGGGACCGTGAACTGGTACAACACCACGATGTTTACGCTTAAATGAAAGCTGCTGACCCAAAATACTGTACAGGAATTATGGCGATAAAAACGGGAGTAAGTCATTCCAACAACAAAGAAAGATGTTCTGCAGGAAATTTGGATGACCTTCCATGAAAGTATTGCAAATCAAGGTACGCAGACTTAAGCTGTTTGGATGTTCATTGAAACTTCTGGCGAATGTGCAATTCACTTCGACTAGGAAGCGAAGTGTGTAACTGATACCGGCTAGCTATTTCACCAATTTGAAGAAGAAGGAGCACAAATGTTTAAAAAAGTCTACAGTCTTTATTCTGCATTTTACCCCAGTCTGCGTTTTACTCTTAGTCTGCAGTCTGCATTTTACACTCAGTCTGCATTTTACCCCTGGTCCGCAGTCTGCAGTCTGCAGTCCGCAGTCTGCGTTTTACACTGACCGATATTGCTACTCCCCCGCTCCTGGGTAAGATGCTAGTCTACTGCAGGGTGACCCTCAGTAGTATGTCACCAGTTCCCACTGCAGCATGCAATGCCCAGGAGTATCACTAGTCCCTCTTGTACAGAATACCAGTTCACTACTACTCAGTGGTATGTCACCAGGGGCCAGTTTCTCGAACGTCCCGGTAACGTTTCGGGCCTGTAATCAAATTTTCAAATCAATATAAAGAGTAAGACCGCAGGTCCTGGCTAGCAAACTGCTCCATTTTATTTCATTAACTGATGGTTTTATCATGTTAGATGCAAAACTATTGAAAACTCTATTTTGCATGAAAACAACAACAGCTTTACGTGCCCGTTAATTATCGGGACTTTCGAGAAACGGGCCTCAGTTTCCATGACAGTTTATTTCTGTTTCTGTAACATGAAATTCATAGGAGTATTGCTACTTCCCCTTGGAGAGGATATTAGTCTACTGCGTGGTAACCCTCAGTAGTATGACACCACTTCCCACCAATATACTCTGGTGAAGAGGTTCATACAGTAGTGAGGCAAAGTTATAAGTATACAATGATGATGTCTTTCTAAGCTATTAACACGTAACTTCCTTTTTTTCAGCTTGCTCAGTATTATTAGCTGGTGACGACGTAGGATCTGTGTGGCTTTATGACGTAGATCGCTGCTTATTAGAAGCCAAAAGCAAAGAAAGCCAGCAACTTAAACAGTCGCAGGTAAATATTAACGTTTCCTAGCTCCAGTATAGTTTGACTTCAAAATAGGTTTGGTATATTTTCTGAAACTCAACTTGTTAATAACACGTCTTGGAAAACATTTTTTATTCGATCCTTGCTACGTCCCCCAGCCTCCCTACTCCACTAAAAAAATGGTTAAGTTGAGCATTTTTCGACCAGTGTGACTCACGCCTTCCACAAGGGTGTTTTTTGGCTTTTTTTTTATGGTAGGGCTTTTTTACTGCAGCTTATTTGGTAAATTACTGGGTCATGATTGTTATTGTGACCGTGAGTTTGATAAAGTCGTTGCTTCTGTTTTGAAAATCTTGAGTGGGCTTGTAATTTCTTTATTCCATCAAACAGTTCTAAACTTTTCCCACCTTTTATAATACTCATTCGGAACAAATGTTTGTGAAATTCTGAAACTTTTAAGTGAACCTTTATAACATAGTTAAAGAAACTTTAGAATTTAGCCTGTGGAGTGTGCATATACTCCAGGCATCGTTAAATCAAGTTACCGATTGTAACATCTGCTTTCCAGGTTCTTTGCTGTCCAAACGAGACGACCAAGGTGTTTAATCAAGTTAGCGCCAGCAGTAATCTGGATTACATAGTCGCTGTAGCTGACACCAATGTAGTATGTATATGGAAAAGACTTAGAATCGAGGATGGAAGTTGATGTTCACAAGCCACCAGCTTTGCAGAGAGGATGTATGATAATACGTACAGAACTGTTATTTATCCAAGGAAAGAAGATATAACAGTTAAAAATGACATGCGGCTTTCCTAACTGGTTGAATGTTTCTATGCTGCGGCAGGAGTCGGCTATGGGACATGGACAGTCTGACCGCGGTTATTTGGTTAATGTTCTTTTACTGTTCTAAGGATCTGGGAGTGGGTCAAAAGTGTTTTAAGAAGGGCATCAGAAGGGCACGAGAAAACACGTTTACCACCCACCTCTCCCTTGCGACAGGGTCGTCTTTCTTCTTAGAACACAATAAACATGCCAGGTTTTTAGTGACTTTTGAAGGACCTTGAATTGAATCCGACAAGTTAAAATGTGAGTGTAAGCAGTTACGCCAAGCCGAGCAATGATTGGTAGGAAAATGTAACAGTTCTTTGACGTCACTCGCTTTCAAATACTGTGATTGGTCACGGCAGCAAGGCTTTCCTTATTACTAATGTTCTTGAACGGTAAAACAGGCTTTTCTATTCAGCTACTGGAAGTTTTGATAAAATCACCAGCACTCAGGAAAACTGTTTTCAAGGTCGTACAAAAACCGCCCTGTCGCTAAGAACAATTTTAAATTTGCTGAAGTAAAAATCGCCCATAAAACCTAGTTATGAAACCTCTAGCATGATTCCAGTGACCATTGTATGAGAATTTTAGAGGATCTATTCAAGGGTGTGGCCCCACTACAGGCCTAGCGTTTTAATCATAGCAGCATCCTTAATAGTTGACTTGTTAAATCCCAATCCAGGACACGAATGTCGAGTTTTAATTTGTTAAAATTATCAGTATGTCGTGACACCTTTTTTGGTTTCGTTTAGTTGAAAGGCTGGTCTAGCGCTCGTTCATGTTCACAAAATGAACAGAAGCACAGTGGATTGGAAGTTCTAGTTCTGCGTTAATTTGAAAATATTTTAGAGTTATAGTGAAAGCAGGACCCCATCACCACAGAGAGCCCGATGACGGTTAATAAGAGTCAGGACAGGTCACACGATTAGTCCACGTTCAGATTTCTTCTTCCGACGAGATGCGAAAGTCCAAGAAATCAAGTTTATCGTTTGATCTTTGATATGGACGCTACTCAGTTCTCAGTTCCAAGGCTGTTTGATCAAGGTATTCTCCTTTTTTGCACTTCGCTGATTTCACTCATATACGGTTCTGATTGGTAAGACGTGGTTTAACGCGCGAAAGATGAGTGACCCAGGTCCTTAGGAGAGCGATGGAAGATCCAGGGCGTTGGAGGTGGGCTCCTGGTGAAACTTAGAGATAGCGTACATGCATAAATTACTAGTAAAATTATTTCGTAAAACTACTAATGCATAAACATAGTAAAACTACTAGTACATAAACAACTGATACACAACTGTTTCCGCTTAACAGAAACAGTTCACATAACCTTGTGTTTCGTTAAGCTCACAATATTCTGCAGAGGCCCTCATCTATTGAAGATCTACTTGACAGTAAGTGTAGTTTGCCTTAACATCATCTTAACAATAGCGTACCTAGGTACCTCCTCTTTTAAAAGAAAACCTGGCATTACCATGTCAAAGATAATAGCGTTCATGAAATAAAGCTTTATCGAAACGAGTCTTATGATTTTCGTTTTTGTGTCTAGCCTCATTAAGGAGTTTAAGCAGCGACGTTTTTGAGCCATGCACGTCAACCAGAAGTGGACTTTTTGCACTCTTGAGCCGTAAGTTTAAACAAATTTGTGAGCAGATCAACTCTACTAGGGTAAAGACTCTCAGCAATCTAATTTGGTAGCGTCAAGGAAATTTAAAGTAGAAGAAGGCTCACTTCCGGTTGACGTCGGTCGCTCAAAAACGTCGCTGCTTAAACTCCCTATTTCCTTTTTCCAGAGACGCAAGGGACTTGTCAGAAATTAGCAGAGGGGGAGGGGAGGTGGGAATTTTAAATTTGGGTGCGGAAATGAGGTGACCCATCCCTGCAATGGGAGTGACATTTGCTAAACCTCCCCTTGAGCTTGGCCTATCATGACCCTCCCCCTCTTGTATAAATGATAAAATGAAAACTTAAAAAATATTTCTAATCTGTTCTTTGTAATGCTATCTACATACATTTTAGATGACAGCATTGAGAGTCCGACTCTGATTCTGACAGCTGATCACTCCACTCTTCTCCCAAGTTTTTTTTGTTTTGCGAAGCAGCGCAGATATCCATGTGCTGGGCCCCCAATGGACTCAACGAATTACCGGAAGTGCGAAGTGCATTTCGGCTTTCCCTTCATTTTGATTGGCAAATCGACGATGGCATTTTTTTTATCATAGCGCGTACTCAAATCCTGGTACACAGGTGGGAGCCCGGAACAAGGATTCCGGCGCTGTTTCGCAGATGGACTTAAACTGAGTTTAGTCTCGTCTGTGGCGAAGACTACGGTGCGGAGGGCTGGAGTTTTCGTGACACAGATACAGATAAAATAGATAACAGAGACTGCTTTCTCAGTACTAGGCTTTTGTGTAGTTCTACAGTATAGATAAGAGTCACGTGCATCAGATATGTATTGTAATTTCATTGTTCAATATTTTCTTTGATGCACCTTTCCCTTTCGCGCATGCAGTTCCATCCGTAATTAGCTACCTTTTTGTGCCTGTCTACTTCCGCCACGCCCATCAACTTCAAAAAAGCGGGGTATGGAAATGGAGCCAAAGAATCAAGATGGACAGCTCTCTTCTAGGGTATCTATGGGCTGAGTAATCTTCATCCTCTGTCCTTGTTTTGCCTAAGGGGCAGATTGTTTGGTGTGGTGAAAGGTAGGTTTGGTGTGCCACAAGAATTTGTTGTTGCTTGGTTTTACTTTTGTGATTGCTATTCTGTGATTGATGTTTCTTAAATTTGTGAGGTATTTTTCATAATTTTGGACAAGTCTTCTCTTCTTCCGTCGTTGTGGATTTCGGTAATACGTGTTTGTTCTATGTTTAAGGGTCTGTTGTGAGTAGTTCATGATTGTGGGTGTCTATTGCTGTCAACCATATAACCCCACGTCCTGAGAAGTTCAGAATCTGTCTCTCTTATCTACATCGGCAAAGGTGACTGCAGATAGTTTATTTTATTGGTCCTTATCACCCGTCTATGGTAAAACGTAATTTGATCGCTCTGCATTTTGACTTTGTTCGCATTGGAAAAAGACTTACTTCTAACCTACAACCATTTGAGCTGCAAAATTTATTTACTCCTAATAGCCACCTGATGAACTTTGTTAGGACAAGCTCACCAGGCCATTTCCGAGTTCCAAAAAATCTCACTTTCAAAACAAGGCTACAATGGTGCAAAACCTTTCTTTTGAAAATGAGTTTTACTTGCATGAGAATAAATAACCATTTTGATATCAATAGACTTTCACTTTGCCTAACTTTCAAACAGAGGCTTAAAGCAACTCGAGAATGTTATCGATTGACGCCTTATACTTCGCTACCACACGTAAGTATCAGAGCAAAAGCCGTTTCAAAGATTTTTATTGTTAATAGCATATTTCCCTGAAGTGCTTCCCAATTTCCTTTCTAAGAGCCTGTTTACATGGATGAAGGGGACCCCAGATGGGTGAGGCAACATTCGGCGGGTCACCCCACCTATCATGTAAACGTGATCAAATTCAAATGAAACAATATGGACAAGCGGGTTATCCCACCTAAGCGAGTTATCTGACCTACCTAGGGTCCCTCATATCTGCATGTAAACAGACCCTACGCTTGAACAGAACTTTAAGGGACTGTCGATGGGTGGAATCACCAAATGACGCTGAAGACACTGAACAATACCCACACCACAACACAAAAGCGAAGCAAAAATGGTCTCCGCCACACCGAGAAACATCAGACTTTCTTTATTTCTTGTTCGGCAAAAGTGAGGTTCCCATAGACGCTAATGCCCGAGATTGTCTAAGTTTTGCTCTTTACAGCGGAATATGTAATCAATTACCAATCAGCGGGGGTAGGGGAGTGGCGTAAGAGGGGAGGGGTAGAGTGAAGGGACAATCGATCACACCAGTCCTTCGTTTTTTAGCATAATTTGCTTTGCAAGTTAATGTTACTCAAAATACACCCACACATCATCATCATCATCACCACTTTATCTTCTTCACATTATGAACAGACCTTATTAAACATGCTATCAATTCACAAAAATATAGGGAGCGAATCAAACGCGACCTCTCTTAATTTTTTCTTTCTTCCTTCTTCTTCTTTTTTTTTTCGGTATGTGGCCTTTTTTGGCTCCAGCCTTGGAAGGAGAATTGAAGTGATAATACAATAAAGTAGAGAGAGAAAAAAAAGTAATGAAAGAAATATGCACGAAAATACAACTTGTACAACTAACTTTACCACGTCAGCATGTTATCGCCATTTCATACAATTTTAGTACAGAAAGATTTCCGATGACCGTACCGTTGAATGTTACCTTAAAGTTCTCGTTAAGAGGAATTAAAAGTGGAGCCTTCTATTTTTAACATTTTAAACATTTCAATTTGAATATAAAACAATGTTGCACAGTACGGACGCATGAGTGCATGAAATTATTTTCATACTACTGCAGTTCAAGCAAAATAAATTAAAATGCAAATTTCGTTCTGCATTAATATTCATATCACCTTCATTTTTGCCAAATTTACCACGAGGAAGGAACAGGGTAACGGATGGAGAGAAAATTCAAATTTGAGCGCCATTTTCGAACTTAGCTGAAGTAATGGCTTCATGAAACATGGATTTTATTGATGAAGATGTCAAGTCCTCGGCTATCTTGCTTACGATACGTGGATAAAAGGATTTTCCCTCGAAATAACCCAGGCAGTTAAACACGTGGACTTCAACGCTAAGGCAGTCAGTTCGCTGGAAGCAACTTGAGGTATGGACGGATAATACATACAGTATATCTTTAGGAATCTAACGTTTGTATTCTTTGATGTACAATTTTATTATCGTAACTTTCGACAATAT